GCCCAGCCTTGGGAGGTGGGGGGGGGGGTCTCTATTTGGGGAGAGGGAGGTCAAGGCAAACCCAAGGGGGACCCCTTTCCTGCACCCCCTTTTTTTCTACCCCTGGGAGTTGCTGCATTTCCTCCCAACGCAGCTCAGCTCTGTGTGCGCCTTTTTGGCGAGGCCTCATTGGGGACCTTGCTTGCCTCCTCTCCTTTCCCCATTGTCTGCTCGCCTTCTGCTTCTCTATTAGGAAAACACTCAACAGCTTCCTCCTTCCTCCTATCCATCCACTAACCCCCCCCCCCCCGGTTTATTTCAGTGTATCTCAACCTGGGGGTCGGGAGGGGAGTTTCAGTGGTGTCGCCAAAGACCATCAGAAAACCCATATTTCTTAGCAACCCCTTTGGCAGAAAAGGCTGCAGATCTCTCCACTTGACCTTCTCTTCCCTCTTGGTGCTGGTGAACTACAACTCCCAAAATTCAAAAACAGCCCCCTTCCCCAACCCCACCAAAAACGCATATTTCTTAGCAACCCCTTTCGCATGAAAAGGTTGCAGATCTCTTCACTTGGCCTTCTCTTTCCTTTTGGTGAACTATAACTCCCAAAATGCAAAAACAGCCGCCTTCCCCAACCCCACCAAAAACGCATATTTCTTAGCAACCCCTTTCACATGAAAAAGTTGCAGATCTCTCCATTTGGCCTTCTCTTTCCTTTTGGTGAACTACAACTCACATAATTCAAAAACAGCCCCCCTCACCAACCCCACCAGTATTTACTGTTGGCCATGTAGGTAGTATATAGTGTGCCAAGTTTGGTGCAGATCCATTGTGGGATGGGTTTAGAGTGCTCTTTGATTGTAGGTGAACTATAAATCCCAGCAACTGCAAATCCCAAATGTCAAGGTTTATTTTCCCCAAACTCCACCAGTGTTCACTTTTGGGCAGATTGAGTATTTGTTTGGTCCAATTTAATTGTTGGTGGAGTTCAGAATGCTCTTTGATTGTAGGTGAACTACAAATCCCTGCATCTGCAACTCTCAAATGTCAAGTTTTATTTTCCCCAAACTCCACCAGTGCTCACTTTTGGGCAGATTGAGTATTTGTTTGGTGCAATTCCATCGTTGGTGGAGATCAGAATGCTCTTTGATTGTAGGTGAACTACAAATCCCAGCATCTGCAACTCTCAAATGTCAAGTTCTATTTTCCCCAAACTCCACCAGTGTTCACTTTTGGACAGATTGAGTATTTGTTTGGTTCAGTTCCATCGTTGGTGGAGTTCAGAATGCTCTTTGATTGTAGGTGAACTACAAATTCCAGCAACTACAAATCCCAAATGTCAAGGTTTATTTTTCCAAAACTCCACCAGTGTTCACATTTGGGCAGATTGAGTATTTGTTTGGTTCATTTCCATAGTTGGTGGAGTTCAGAATGCTCTTTGATTGTAGGTGAACTACAAATCCCAGCAACTGCAACTCTCAAATGTCAAGTTCTATTTCCCCCAAACTCCAACAGTGTTCACATTTGGGCAGATTGAGTATTTCATAGAATCATAGAATCAAAGAGTTGGAAGAGACCTCATGGGCCATCCAGTCCAACCCCCTGCCAAGAAGCAGGAATATTGCATTCAAATTTGTGCCAAGTTTGGTGCAGATCCATCATTGTTTGAATCCACAATGCTCACTGGATGTAGGTGAACTAAAACTCCAAAACTCATGGTCAATGCCCACCAAACCCTTCCAGTATTTTCTGTTAGTCGTGGGAGTTATGTGCCAAGTTTGGTTCAATTCCATCGTTGGTGGAGTCCACAATGCTCTCTGGATGGAGGTGAACTACAAATCCCAACAACTTCAACTCCCAAATGTCAAGTTCTATTTTCCCCAAACTCCACCAGTGTTCACATTTGGGCAGATTGAGTATTTGTGCCAAGTTTGGTCCACATCCATAGTTGCTTGAGTCCACAATGCTCTCTAGATGGAGGTGAACTATAACTCAAAAACTCAAGGTGAGTGCCCACCAAACCTTCCAGTATTTTCTGTTAGTCATGGGAGTTCTGTGTGCCAAGTTTGGTTCAATTCCATCATTGGTGGAGCTCAGAATGCTCCTTGATTGTAGGTGAACTATAAATCCCAGCAACTACAACTCCCAAATGACAAAATCAACCCCTCCCCCCCACACTCCATAAGTATTCAAATTTGGTCCAGTGAATGAAAATACATCCTGCATATCAGATATTTAGGTTACGATTCTTAACAGTAGCAAAATTACAGTTATGAAGTAGCAATGAAAATAATGTTATGGTTGGGGGTCACCACAACATGAGGAACTTTATTAAGGGGTCGCAGCACTAGGAAGGTTGAGAACCAGTAGAGGCCAGTAGAAAAGGAAGGGGCCTGAGTCTGTTAGGAATGGTGGGAGTTGAAGTCCAAAACACCTGGAGGGCCCAAGTTGGCCCATGCCTGCTGTAGAGCATGACTTCTTAAACTGCCAGGGCTCAGTGCTAAGGAATCCTGGGAGTGCGGGTGGCTCAGCAAACTACAATTTCCACTCTTCTATAACATGAGCCAAGCCAGTTCAAGTGGTGTGAAAGTACATTAATTTTATTTATTTACTTATTTACTATATTTGTATACCGCTTTTCTCAGCCCTCGAGCGACTCCATTCCCCAAGTAGAATGGATTGGTGAAGAAAAGGAGATGTTGTTTATTGTTGTTGTTATTAGAGATCATCGCCATGCCACCTTGTCCCCAAAACTGTGACTCTGGTGTGAGAGAATTGGCCGTCTGCAAGAACGTTGCCCAGGGGTCACCCGGATGATTTGATGTTTTATCGTCCTTGTGGGAGGCTTCTCTCATATCCCCACATGAGGAGCTGGAGCTGATAGAGGGAGCTCATCCGCCTCTCCCCGGATTCAAACCTGCGACCTGTCGGTCTTCAGGGGTTAAACCCACTGCACCACCGAGGCTCCTTTAACGGGCCATGATTGATTCTTATCTGGAATTCCTCCAGGCAGCAATCAGCCAGGCTTTGAAGCTGCAAGGCCGTTCAATGCTAATCAAGGTGGCCATTTGCAACATTCACACTTGCCTCAAGCAAATAAGAGTTCTTTCTCCCACCCTGGACATTCCACAGATATATAAACCCCACTTTCCTAGTTTCCAACAGACCCCTCAACCTCTGAGGATTCCCACCATAGATGTGGGTGAAACATCAGGAAAGAATGCTTCTGGAACATGGCCATATAGCCCGGAAAACTCACAACAACCCCAAAAAAGGAATGATTGCATACCTGTGTCTGCCTTCTCAGTTTTACTATATGCTGGGCCATTACTCCCAACTTCCATGTTTTGAAATTGTCACCAGTCCGAACTGGAGATGTGGCATCCTTTCATTTTACCACTTCCTTTTCTGCAAAAAGAATATTTGCAAAATACTACTACGGTAGTTCTTTTGCAGGAAGAAGCCCTCCGTTTCATTCTCTGACATCTCCAGTTGAAGACTGGAAAAGTCCACAGCCGGTAAAAATAAATACAGCATTGGATCAGCAAGGGACGAGTATGGTATAGTGGCTAAAGTGTTGATCTGGGAATTGAGCTATCTATATTCAAGTGCCTACTAAGCTATCAAATGTTGACCTGAGCATGCTCACCCCTCCCTACTTTGCAGCAATGTTGTGAGGAAGCAATGAGGAAGATATCCATATACACACTGCTCTGAGCTCACTGCCAAAAAGATGGGTTATACAGTTGGTCCTCCACATTTGTGGGTTTAATATTTACATATTTAATTGTTTCAGGATTTGATTACTATGTTCTCTCTAGGAATCTCTAGGCTCCCAGAGTAAGTCTTATGGTCAGTGGTCCCATGGACATTGACTATAGAACAGGCATGGGCAAACTTCGGAACTCCAGGTGTTTTGGACTTCCACAATTCTTAACAGCCAGTAGGAATTGTGGGAATTGAAGTCCATAATAATAATAATAATAATAATACTTTATTTATATACAGCTCTGAGTCTCCCTGAGGGGACTCAGAGTGGTTTCCAAGTAATATCACAAAATATACAGAGTAAAAACAACATAATCATACGATTAAAAAACAAAATATAAGCATAACAATTGTCATCATAACACAAATATATTAAATGTAATCTTGCCTGTTCAAGGCAATTAAACATTTCAAAGGCTGGGCCAAGATTTGTGCAAGCCCAAAAATTCTAGGGGGCCTGGGAATTAAGTGCAATGCTAAGTATGGCAGGCAACAATAATATTAGGTACGGGTCTGTGGCTGTTCATGCCGGGGCCAATTAGAGGAAAGAATCTGGGTAACTGGTAGGAAGAATAAGGCCGTATTCGACAATGTGTGGGGCTGAGTTAGAACTGGTCATTTTCAAAGGCTTGTTGAAACCACCAGGTCTTCAAGCTCTTATGAAAGGAGGGGGTGGGATGGGACCTGTCTTATTTCCTTTGGAAGGGCATTCCAGAGATGGGAGGCCACCACTGAGAAGGCCCTCTCTCTCGTCCCCACCAACCATGCTTGAGACGGTAATGGGACCGAGAGGAGGGCCTCCCAAGAAGATCTTAGAGCTCGCGCCCGAACCTGGAGGGCCAAAGTTTGCCCGTGCCTGCTATAGAGCCATGATGGAAGACTTAGGACCCTTCCACACAGTCATATAACCCAGAATATCAAGGCAGAAAATCCCACAATATCTGCTTTGAACTGGTTTATCTGAGTCCACACTGCCGTATGTTCCAGTTCAAAGCAGATAATGTGGGATTTTATTCAACTGTGAGGAAGGGGCCTTAGAGATTCCCCAAGAGAAGATCTCTGGGTAGTCTTTTGCTTTTTATGCAGGAATCAGTAAGCCTAGGTGAATTTTTGTTCATAGAAGTTTGAGGGCCACCATTGTATTGCTGATCTGTGTCCTCTGGTTAATAAGGTGCCAGAGTCACAACGTCTTGAATAGCTCCAGAATCCTTCCCTTTCTCTCTCCCTCTTTTTCCTCTCGTTCTTTCCACCAGGAGACACTGGGGACGAGTCAAACCCGTTATCCTGTTCCTCCTGCCATATCACCTTCAAGGATCCCTCCAAGATAGCAGCTCATGTAGAGTCCAGCTGCATGGAGCAGCCCACCTGCTCCTCTATTACCTCTACTGGCACGGCTGGTGGCCAAGATCATGCTGTTGTTTCCTCCTCCTCTTCTTCCTCCTCTGTCGAGATCCGTCCTGAAAGCCCTCCAAGCATGGATGTTGAGTCTGGAAGCTTGCTGACAGATCCAACCCAAGACCCAGGCCCTCCCCGGCCGCCTCCACCTCCCCCATCGCTGCCTCCGACTTCTGCTGTACCTACTGGGCACCTCAACATCCCTCTCATCCTGGAAGAGCTCCGAGTCCTGCAGCAGCGTCAACTTCACCAAATGCAGATGACGGAACAGATCTGTCGCCAGGTATTGCTCTTGGGGTCCCTTGGCCAGGTGAGCTCCTCACCACCTTCCACAGAGCCCGCTCCGGTAGCTTCCCTCCCTCCTAAGCCCCCCTTGCCGGTCTTTTCCATCAAAACCGAGCCGGGCAGGACCCAAGCTTCTAGCTCCCCGGAAGTGCCCAAACCCGCTTTCTTCCATCTCTACCACCCATTCCCCAGCGGGACTCGAGTCCCCAAAGCCGAGCAGCTCTTGGCTCCAGCCTTCCCCACAGCCACTGGCCTCCTGGCTGCTCAGTGTTTGGGTGCCGCTAGGGGTTTGGAGCAAGCAACTTCTCCCGGCCTGCTGCGGCAAAAGAACGGAGGTGGTGTCCCCACTGAAAGCAGCCTGGAGGAGAAACCAGGCGGGCGCCACAAGTGCCGGTTCTGCGGCAAAGTCTTTGGCAGCGACAGCGCCCTCCAGATCCACCTGCGTTCCCACACAGGGGAGCGCCCTTACAAGTGTAACATCTGCGGCAACCGCTTCACCACCCGTGGCAACCTCAAGGTGCACTTCCACCGCCACCGGGAGAAATACCCTCATATCCAGATGAACCCCCACCCAGTCCCCGAGCACCTCGATTACGTCTTGACCACTTCAGGGTTGCCCTATGGGATGTCGGTGCCACCTGAGAAAGCAGAGCCAGGAGAGGAGACTGCTACGCCTCCCACCACTGAACGCAAGGCCCTTAGTGCTACTGAGAGCTTGACTCTGCTCTCTGGAGCTACTCCATCTGGGGCTTCTCAGGCCCTGCCGAGTTTCAACAAGTTGGTCCTGATGAAGGCGGTGGAAGCTAAGGGGAAAGGGGATGAGAACACACCACCGGAAAGGGAGACAGAAGGTGCCCGTCTTCAGCTGGGCAAATTAGTGGGTTCTTTGCCCAGTTGGGCCTTGTTAGCCAACCACTTCAAAGCAGGTACAGCAGTGGGGCCGTTCCCTTATGTCCTGGAAGCTTCCCCTTCTGAGACCTCCAAGCTTCAGCAGCTGGTGGAGAAGATCGACCGCCAAGGGTCCCCCTCCTCCTCCTCCTGTGCTGGACCAGGAGCCACTTCCCAAGCAGTGGCCGGTTCCTCGTCGGCTTCATCCCCACCTACTTCTTCAGGCTCCAACCAGTGTGTGATCTGCTTGCGGGTCTTGAGCTGTCCCCGGGCTCTGCAGCTTCATTATGGGCAACACGGAGGAGAGAGGCCTTTCAAGTGCAAGATTTGTGGGCGAGCCTTTTCCACCCGGGGCAACCTGCGTGCTCACTTCGTGGGCCACAAGACCAGCTCAGCAGCCAAGGCTCAAAACTCATGCCCCATCTGCCAGAAGAAGTTCACCAATGCTGTTAGCCTCCAGCAACACGTCCGGATGCACCTTGGTGGGCAGATCCCGAATGGGGCTCTCCTCCCGGAGACACCTATCCCAGAGGGATCTGTCCTAGGAGAAGGGGAGAAGCAGCAGCAGCAACCGCAGCAGCAGGAAGCATCTCTTCCACCAGAGGAAGAACTGTCGGAGGAAGAGGAAGAAGAACCCACAGATGAAGACTCTCTAGAAAGTGCTGGGGAGAAGGTTGAAGGACCTTCCAGTCCTGATCAGGAAGCTCCAGGTCCTGCCAAGGAAGGGGAAGAATTGGCACAAGCGGAAGAAGAGGATGAAGGAGGTCCCGCTGCCACTTCCCCAGCAGCACCCCAAAGTCCCCAATGTCCCATGCAGGAAGGGGAGGAGAAGGCAGAAGTGGAAAAAGTGGAAGAGGAATCTTCACCAAAGGAGGAGGAAGAGAAGGAAAAGGGATCAGGTGGAGAAGGCCCCTCCGAGAAGCAGATAGGCGGTCAAGCCAAAGAGGGGCTGGCCCTAGCATGTGGAATCTGCAAGCAAGTCTTTCCTGACCGGGCTGCTCTGCGTAAACATGTCCTGACTGCCCATCCACAGGTAATTCATTTATTTTTTTACTGCATTTATATCCCGCCCTTCTCACTCCAAAGGGGACTCAGGGCGGCTCACAACAAAGGCACGTTTGGATGCCATGGATACATATATAGAATAAAACAACATATACTTTAAAATCCCATAATTAAAACATCTCAAACTTAAAGCAATTACATTAAATCACACAATTCAAAAGCATATTCCAGGGACCATTCCAGTTGTCACTTGCATTATTCATTATTGCACTGAGAGGTCATTATTGCACTGGGAAACATTGTCCAAAGGCTTGGTGACACAGCCATGTCTTCACTTTCTTCCTGAAGATCAGGAGGGAGGGTGCTGATCTAATTTCCCTGCGGAGGGAGTTCCATAGCCAAGGGACCACCATTCTCTCCTGACATTTTGCCTGCATCTATGGCAAGCATCCTCAGAGGTTGTGAGGTCCTCACCTCTGAGGATGCTTGCCATAGATGCAGGCAAAACGTCAGGAGAGAATGCCTCTAGAACATGGCCATATAGCCTGAAAAAATCCAACAACAACCTATATACACACAGCGGTGCTTGGCCGCTGTGACAGACTGGATGAGGGACAACAGATTGAAACTAAATCCAGACAAGACAGAGGTACTCCTGGTTAGTCGAAAGGCCGGGCAGGGTTACACTCCCCCTGAAAGCGCAGGTTCGCAGTTTGGGAGTTCTCCTAGATTCATCGCTGAGCCTGGAGCCCCAGGTTTCGGCGGTGGTCAGGGGAGCTTTTGCACAGCTGCGCCCGTACCTTGGGAAGTCTGACTTGGCCACAGTGGTCCATGCTTTGGTTACATCCCGTTTAGACTACTGCAACGCTCTCTACGTGGGGTTGCCTCTGACGACTGC